AGATTTATAGTCAATTAGGCAAAAGTTGGGATATAAATTCTGATGAAGCTGAAACTTTGTTTGGATCATTCTTCCGTTATTTTCCCATTACAACTACTAAATCAGCAACGCCCTTGAAGCCAGAGGAGGATCTAAAACGCGGTCTTTTGGACTGTTTAATATCAAACGATAGATATGCACCTTTCGTTTTTCCAGCATTATTCCAGAAATTAGACTCCGAAAGCGTTAGAGCAGATATAAAGGTAGTCAAATTCATCATCCTCTTTTCCGTTGTATGCTAATGAGTTAGATTGATGTATTCGATTCCATGCTTGAATGCATACGAAATTATACCAACGTTTCAGAGTTTTCAGTCACAATATGGGACACTTTGAAATGGGAGGTCTGGAACGGCGAAAATGATGACTTTATTAATCGTTCTATAGAAAACATTGCTGCGATTGCCGGCAGACTGGGCCGACAATCCTCTAGCACCGAAGACGATAATGTCGAGTTGGAGAAATTTGTCAACTACGTCACTCAGGAATGCATTACAATATTTACCGATGATACAAAGAAGCGTATGATCCTACCATGTACTCGTATTTTGGGCAAATTTTCGAGCACATCTCCTCAAGCTTTTACACTTACTGTTCGAAATACTCTACCGACCCTTTTTACCTTGTGGCAAGGGCTAGATACTATAGCCGACAAAACACGATTGCTCGAGTCATTTAATATTATTCTCGAAACGCGTGCAAACATCTCACAATCATCCACTCAATCTATTGAAGATGCATACATGGCTCAACGATTAGCCGTCATGGATGTAAATTTTGACAATTTCCGCGAAAGCTTCATAGAACTTTACTTTGGCGCCACCTCCATGACTTCAAGTGATCTCGAATCAAAGATCGCCACCACTAAAGGACTTACACTTTTGGCATCAATTCGCAATGATTCCGTCAATCGTCCATTTTTGAATTCTTTCGAACAAGGAACAATCATTGAAAAACTCAACGAGACAGCGTTCAATTTGAAAGAGGCGGACGATCTTCGTGCGTTGGCTGTGGCTTCCTTGTCCATTTTATCAGTTCGATATCCAGACACATTTATCAACATCACACTCCCCAATTTTATTAGCAAACTTCCAAATCAGTTGAAAACCGAGAATGGTGATGAATCTGAATTGTCTCGAGTAGTTTGGCTCCTGGACTCACTCGTGGAAATTGCGTGCAAGTCGACTTGCCAACGTGAGCTGGAAACTCCTGACTCCGAAGACAAGACTCACTTCAAATTCAGATTGTTTAAGGCTTTACAATCCGAATTTGTCATGAAATTTACACATCATATTTGTAAATATGCAAATCAAACATCCTATCAGATGGCCCTTTTAGCCGCAATATATCAAGGATTGCAGGTGTTTGATGATGCACTTGCCAATGATAAAACGGCGGGTGATCTATTATCAAACAGTAATGATATCATCGATCCCTATGCTTTCATCGCAATTGCGTTATTCAAGCGAGTCATTGGGCTCTCTCAACACGAGACTGGTGATTTGAAAGGTAGTTGGTTTGTAGGTATCTCGGAGGTTAACAAAGGAGAATATTTCGACGATTCTGTTGTTACACTCGTTGGAGCGATTGGAACGTACATACTCCGATCCAACACCACTCCACACGAAAAGAACTTTTTACTCAAAGCTAATGCAGACAATCCAACTGAGCCAAGTCGTGTTTGGACTTTATTCAATTTCGGAGCACACACTAGAGCAGACTTAGGTGCTTGTCAACAGGACCTTCGTGTTGGCCCCTCTAATAAATGTTCCGCCAACATTCTTTCCACGGCCTTAATAGCTGGAATCCGTAAAGAAGTGAGTCGATTTCTATTCCTTTTCCATGTAAACTTTGACTGATTTGTTCTAGGATATCGATCGTTTAGGTCTAGTGGTTCATGAAACTGCCAAGTCAATGCTTTTCAACGCAATTTCTGTGGAAAACAAGTGTTCAAGACAAGCTCGCATTAGTATGTTACAGATGCTTCAACTTCTCGTAAACAAATTCGGTGCAGACAAGAAAATGTTTGAAGACGGGAAACAACTTCATGACGTAATGCTCGAGCTGGTCAATGAAGCAGCATCAAAGCCAGATTTAGAAGCATATCAAATATATCAAGCACTGGCTTATTTCGCTGCGGCCGCAGTAGCAGCATATGAACCATGTAGTACGGCACTCATCGATGCCATGATGAAAGGTATTTCTGACCCAAAACGTGGTCGAAAGATTGCCCGCAGTTTCGCAATCCTCCTGGCTCCATCGAACATGATAAACGAAAGCAATTTCTGCATTCTTCGTCCTCTTCGATTTGGTCGCCTTTACAGCACTACTGTCAATCAACTTATCACTCTCTGGCGATCCAATGAAGACAGTCGTAGCAAGGAAAACTATCTTATTGCCATTGCTGGTATCCTTCGATATATGCCAGCAAAGATCATGCAAGGCAATGCTGCACAAATCCTTCCAATTGCTCTAGCTGGTACAGACGTTCCGGATAAGACCACAAAAGATGCAAGCATGAACATTATGATAGTTCTGATGCCGGAAAATCCTGGTTTGATTGAAGAGCACTTTGATTCAATAATCAATCGAATGACGGATCGTACGCATAATACGTATGATTCTCCCTCGGATGCTAATGTTGAGGGCAGATCTAAGGCTTTGGATGTACTTGCTATGCTTCCAACTTTGGTAGAGAATGGACTACTTCTGAAGCGGAAAAATGCAGTACTGAAGGAACTTGATGTCGCGTTGGATGATTGCTCGAGAGAGGTGAGAATGAGAGCTGATAGATGTAAAATGATTTGGTTCAATTTGTAATTGGAGCTTTACATTGGCACGGTGTGTTGTGGTGTTGAAAGATTGTATTGGGTGGTTGCCGTTGCATATGATTGTTTGGGGCGCAGTAATTATACACATAAATTAGGTGGGAAGGTATTTTGAGATATTGATTTGACAGATGATTTGATGAGGACGTTTATTAGAGGACATGGTATGGTGATAAAGAGGAATAATAGAAGAATTGTTATTTGCTCTAATAAAAAGGTTCTTGGATGAGAATAATTATGTGATAAAGCAAGCTCTTCGTAGGAGAAAAAAGAGACCGCAATTGACCACTGGCAAAGCCCTTCAACAATTCAGTTGTTCCATGCCAGTTCATATTTTTTAAATGTTTAAACAATTTTATAAATAGCAAATTACTCTCATACCCCTCAAACATGCCCTAAAAATCACACTTATTTTACTCTCATACTCCTTAGATTCTATAGTAGAGAGAGTAGATTTTATGAGAAGAGAATAGATTCTATAATGAGGGATAGATTGTATAGGTATCTATAACCTTTCTTTTTCTTAGGGTTTTTTCCTTTTTTTATTAAAAAATAAGTAAATTCTATTATAGAATCTATGTAGAATCTAGAGAGTATGAGAGTAAATCACCTCTTAATTTTAGAGTATAAGAGTAATTAAATCACTTTTCGGGGGTATGAGAGTAATTTACCGTTTTATGAAATAAAGATTATTTTAAGAATCTATTTAATGTTATTAACTTTCGTAATTTTATTATCGATTGCTTGATCATAGAATTTATTAGGGTGATCAATTTTGGCCTCTTTTTTCTCCCAAGTAGAGGCGAGAACCCTCTCCAGTTCGGTGCTCTTACTTGAATAACTAACTAACTTCCTTGCCTATATCAGGCTAATAAGAAGAAACATTCGCTTGCTATGAACATATTGCCATGTACTTTACATGCGACTACTTACTAAAAGAACTGAACAATCCTTCATTCTATCATCTATTCATCTATCATCTAGTTTTCCTATATATCCTGTTCTATTCGATTTTAAAATCTCAAGTCGGAGTTGGCCTTGAACAAACTGACCTCTGATTTATGTTGGGCTACCGAAATCATCTTGAATGGTTCTTGGTGAGAGAGTTCCATCGGGAAGCACCTTAGTACTTTTGCTCAAATCCCGCTCACCCCGAACATAGTTATTAACATCACTCTCCAGATTCATCTCTTTCAGTTCTTCCTCAACTACCACATGGCAGTTAGTGATAGGCTCAACTTTATATACATATGGGGGATAACAAATACTTCGAAAGTTTGCGCGACCTGTTTTTCCGATCAATCCACCTGCCTTTTGGAGGACTCCACCTGACCAAAGACTTTGCTCGTTTATCTACAATACATTTCCAATCCTTTAAAGAACTTTCCATCAAATCATTAATCAACCACCTGACCTCTCTCTGCAAACCAAACACAGCAAAGATGATGTTCATCCATAAGATGATAAAGAACACTATGAATAACATAAAAATCACGTTGCGATCGCGGGTGCACATTTCAATATCGTGAAAATAAGAAATTTCACAGATGTCACTAGATGACGGAAGAGCTACAGAAGCCGTAGCGACCGCATCAATGACTGCCACACGGGTTGTCAGTCCCCATATGGATGCTAGTGTAATGCCTGACTATCTCAATCGTCTCCGTTGACGGCATTTTGGAGTGAGCGATGGTTTTCGGTGCGTCGAAGTGTAAGGAATCTGATATATTTCAGCATCTCTTATATGTGTGCATCCTCAGAAATTTGATTTCACATAAGGTTACATTTGTGTAGAGATAATTCGGCTCGGTTGTGACAGCTATATTCCGGATACAAAGATGAGTGTATATATCAAAATTCCTACCCATTACTACGCTAGCAAAACTCGAACAGTGATTGCGATATGTGGAGAAATTTACTTGAATATTATATAATGCTGGTGTTTCGTGTGATAATATTGTCGATATTCTGTTAAATTGATTTTGGATGTAAAAGTTTGTGGGGATGCTAGATGTTAGATTTGCGACGGAATCAAACCTTGTGACCATTGTAGCAATCATCGATTTCTGTTTTATAATCATTGATTCTCCATTTCTTTTCGGTGCCAATATCAGACAGCATAACATCCAACGCCATGGTTGCATTTTCCAATCTTCTAATCACATTCTCGGCAGTTTCTGCCTCACTCGCCACTCCGAATTCCATTCTCCCAAAGCGGAGCCCAATGGATTTTATTCTTCAACGCAACCAAAGCCCTCTTAATGATCGTGCAACACCAATTTACCAAAAAGATTATAAGACTGGTGAAGATGTACTCTACATACCATCCGATAGTTCTTTCACTGTAGATTGGTCGACTGAGGATGATTTTGTTGTCGGTCTTGGTTGGACAACTGAGTCTACCAAGTAAGTGACGCTCATTTACTAATGAAAAAGTTTATAAATGCTGATATCACTCGACACCCAGTCCCTTAAACTTCAGCGGCACCTTTGGTATGGAATCCGGCAGGTCCGAAGACTCACTCGTAGAATACTACATCATCGAGACCAGTGCTTTTCCTCCTAGCTTCAGAATCATAAAAGGCAGCGTCACGAGCAACGGATCAAGCTATACTATCTGGGAAAACCAACGTGTTATTGAGCCGTCTATTGTGGGAACGACTACTTTTAATCAGTATATTTCGGTGCGATCTTCTTCGTGCAAAAGTGAGAATGTTACTGTATATAACCGTTTCAGGCTCGGACGGCGCTGAGTAAGAATTTGGGGAGTCTTAATTATCAGGTTTTGGCGGTGGAGGGGTGAAATGGTGAGGGGCCGGCTACGCAGACAGTTAGTTAGGATGGAGATCTAGATATGCGTGGTAGTTTTGAGGTCTTTTACGGTCAATAAGGTAGCATAAGCCATCATGATCAAATTCATTGTTCGTCAAAACCCAGTAGATTTTGTCTTCCGAGATAGGTGTAGGTGTTATTGAAAGGAAGCTCAAGAAACAAGTTGGAAAGTTGTGCGAAGCCTGTGGAAGAGGGGGAATAATTTATCTTATCATTTAAAGCTCAATACTATGTATGTATGCTATTTTTTCTTGACTATTTGTTGCGCGATTGCCTATTCCTCTTGGGATTTGATCCGAAGGGCTCTCATGATTGGTTCCTAATGTGGAGAATCTTCGCTTATTTTCAAATCCCTTCCCTCCTTTTGCAAATGTTCAACTTTACTCGAATAACGATAAGATTTATTTATTTGGTGTTCGAAACAGAGTTTTGAATAATTTGGACTGCAGTGAAATAATATAAGGATTTAAATATTCAAAAGTAATTAGAAATTCGAAAATAATTCAATCTTTTAAAAAATTCAATAATTTCAAATAATTTAAGTATATTAGTTGATTTGAAGATTTAATAATCTATATTTCTAAACTGTAATTCGGACTATTAAACACTCTGATCCAAGAAACAAGGGGAAAAGAGACTGATCTATGGTCTTCTTCAGTTTCAATGAAATCATGCTGTACTTGAACAAGGCTGGAATCAAAGTCTTACCACGATTCTTCCATAGCTATCACCTGTCAGTATCTTTACGATCTCCACCATTCTTCATCGTACCATAAGCAGTTGATTGGCGGTTACACGATTAGAGTGGTGTCACTACTGTACCTATCTTCGTGTAACTGTGTGGTGGCGCTTTAAAGTTAATCCCTCCCCGTACACGAAGTATCTGGTGAATATATATTTAACACGGTAATCAGATTATCAGTTGCAAGGAATTCTACAAGCTTTCAGATCCAAAGTTTAGGTAGTACCAATATCTTTCACGGCCACTGAACTGACATTCCATCAATAATTTTCCTCCTGAGACTCCATGATGAGCGCTGAATCCAATCAACCGGTCTTGTCCGATGCGACTGATTTGCATGATCGAGACTACTCCGACAAACAATTTTACGAAGCTTCCAATGTTTCCCATGTCGAAAATGCGAATTCCACCGATAAGCAAAGTCGTAAAGCCTCTGATGAATCAGAGGTAGGTTTCGACCCGGTACCCCATGCCAAATCCGAAGGGAGCACTCGACGCGGTTTAAAATCTCGACATGCACAAATGATTGCATTGGGCGGTACCATTGGTACTGGATTATTCGTCGGAAGTGGACAAGCTCTTTTCGCTGGAGGGCCTGCCTTTCTCTTTCTTGCTTATTGTCTCATCACTATGTTTGTATATGGTATTGTGACGGCTACAACAGAAATCAGCGCATATATGCCGGTTCATGGAAGCACAATGGCGTCATATGCCTCTCGTTACGTGTCTCCCAGTCTTGGGTTCGCTATGGGTTGGCTGTATTGGTATTCTTTCGCTATCGTTGTTCCCTACGAGATTACGGCGGCTGGATTGGTTATTGATTATTGGCCGAATGATGTAAATATCGCTGTGTGGATCACTATTCTTCTCTTGATCATCATCGGGTTGAACTGCTTTCCAGTTAAAGTGTATGGAGAAACTGAGTTTTGGTTCGCATCTCTGAAAGTATTCATGATCATCGGTCTGTTGATACTTTCTTTCATACTCTTTTGTGGTGGAGGACCATCTCATCAGCCACTTGGATTTCATTACTGGAAAGATCCAGGAGCGACTAAAGAATATCTTGTCGGCGGATCCGCGGGAAGATTTTGCGCTTTTTTGTATGTTCTAGTCTTCTCCTGCTTTTCCTTCAACTTCGCACCCGAATTACTTGTTATTACTGGAGGTGAAATGGAATCACCACGTCGCAATCTCCCAACTGCCGCCAAACGATACTTCATCCGACTTCTCATTTTCTACATTGGCGGAACTCTTGCAATAGGCGTCATTGTGAGTAGCAATGCACCAGGGTTAATTGGCGGTGGAGCCGGTGCAACATCATCGCCTTGGGTTATAGCAATCAAGAATGCTGGCATCTCCGGGTTAGACAGCGTCATCAATGCGGTAATCATTACTTCTGCATGGTCTTCGGGGAATTCCTACCTCTACATGTCAAGTAGATCCTTGTATTCCCTCGCACTTTCTGGCAATGCACCAAAGGTATTCAAGAGATGTAACAGATGGGGTGTGCCTTATCCAGCGCTAATCGCCAGCTCCATGTTCTCACTTCTGGCCTATCTCAACTGCGCTAGTAATGGAATACAAGTTTTCAACTGGTTCATTAATCTCACCAATACGTCTGGATTCATCTCCTGGATTTGTTGTTGTGTAGTCTTTTTCCGGTTTCGCAAGGCATGCGTTGCACACGAAATCACGGATCTACCATACAGATCGCGTTTTCAGCCTTATTTGGCTTACGTCTCGATCTGCGCTTTTACGATTCTTCTTCTTTGTAACGGATTTAGCGTTTTCTTTCATGGTAAATGGAGTGTGTCGTCTTTTCTCACCGCTTATATCGGTCTTCCTATTTTCCTTACCATCTATTTTTGCCATCGCATATTTCATCGGTCAGATGAATGGATGTTGAAGTCAGCTGATGTTGATATGATGAGTGGTTTAGAAGAGGTTTTGGCTACTGAGACTGATGCTCCTGTTAGAGCAGGTCCTTGGTATCACAATTTAGGGAAGATTTGGGAGTAAATTATGTCATAATGGGTTACAGATGTGTTTGTGGTTTTTTTGTTTTAATAGCTAGAGTCGGCTGGCCGACAACTTCTTGCTATCAATTTAAATAGAGTTCGACTAAACCTGGATAAAACGTGACAACCCCATCGTGACTTAACCATCGAGGTCATTTGACCTACTCACATTTATACTGTTTTCTGACGAGCATGAAAAGACGTTGAACGAGCATGACTATCGAAATATTCTACTTCTATTATTTGTTCAAAGATTACCGGCTTCAATCACACTTTCTAGGTCCACAAACTTGCTCTAGTAAAACCTAACCTCTGGGCCTTTCACACTCGACGTCAGTGCACCAAGGTTTCCAAACCATCTATGTAGACTGACTTGACTCGGTACTGAAGGCCAATTATCCATCTACTTTATCGGCGCATTGTCAGCAACTAGACCTTCTCAACATAAATATGAACGCAACATTTGGAAGGTCGTCTTTCCAATATCAGACAGTCTCGTGCCTCGGTCAATTCAATGAGATGACCAGAGATCACTACCTATGTCAGCAGGGTATTCAATAGTCCGGACTGCAGTCTAATACATAATATAAGGGTTTGAATATCTAAAAATAGTTAGAGGTTTGAAAGAAATCCAATCTTCTAATAAAATTCAATGATTTTAAATGATTTGAATGTGTTATAATTGGTTTGGAGATTTGATAAGTCGGTTACCCTACTTTCGGGCCACCCCTGTTTTGGGCCACTTTTCGACCACTTTTCACACCAAAAATGGAATTTTTAACTTTCTTATTTATGAATAGAATACATTGAAAATTTATATATATATAATTCAGATTGTTTTGAACTTATTCTGAAATTTTTAGATTTTTAGGATTTTTCTGTATTGAGATCTAGAGCTTCGAAATATCGATTTTTTAATTTATATAAAAATCATATAACGTGGTTTATCAGCAGTCCGCCCATATCACTAGTCCGCTCACTTTTCTCCTAATTCACACCTTCAAATCTATATTATTCAATAATAATTGAATTAATTGATTAAAACTATTAAGAATCTAATAATCTAGAATCGATTATATTGTTTTGACAAGTTCTTGATGTCACGGATCGCACCCAATCGCAGCTGCGATCGCTCACGTGCGCGCTTGCGCATGTGCACGATTATGTGTATATAGCTAGTATATAGGAGCGTTCTACGAGCGCTTTGCTCCCGATTCTGTAGTTGTAGATTCTAAGGATAAATTGTATTCTGCTTTTGTAGTTCTTTTAAGGCAAAGTGTTATATTATTTATAACTCATTATACGATTGTACGGCCATCTGGTGGCCGATCAAATAATATCTTATAATTATAATATCTTTTTGGGTATATCGAGGACGTTCGATATTACTTATAGGAAGAGGGCTGATTCTGAGTAAATCTATTTGATGGAAGATAACAAACCCTTAATATATAGAGTTACAAGTATTGCTATTATGTTCGATCTATTTACTTTAAAGGGATTCCATTGCTTTTCTTCTCTTACTGGTCGAGTGCTCTTAGTTGATGATAGTCAATCTCAATGGAGCGATGGTTATAGTTCTTATGGTTCTAATGTAAATATTGGTAAACGTGGAAAGGGTAAATAGTCTGGAACGATTCCTCGATTGAGGTATTAATTCTTGAGGGTAGTATGTCGATATATACTTTTTTGTTATAGGAAGAACAAATACCGACTTTTAAAGACTTTGAGGATTTGTGGAACGAAATTGTAAGACTCAAAAACGAATTGCTATAGTGTAATCTTAGTATTGTTTATTTATCTCAATCTCTAAGATATCGATAACAATATTATATAGATTTTCTTGCGAATCGTGGAGTCCGGACTTCTGATATTCTAGTCGATTCTATTGAGAGAGTATTTCCTATTATCGGGAAAAGGAAAAATAAGAAAAACCCTTGCTTATAAAGTCAATCTTTGCAATAATCCCTTTCGAGTATCGATAGCAAATCCCTTTCAAATCCAATTGTTTTGTTGAGCAATCTACAAATTCACCAAATACTCTACTCTTGTTTATTTATTATTATAATAAAGTATTTGTATATTCCAAAGCCCATCAATCTTTTATTCAAATTTAAAAATGGTATAAAGCCAAAAGCAAGCCTCTGGCAGTTATTAGTTATCGAGCAACTTGAACTTTATGAAAATTCGCTTATTTCGGAAGTGCAATGGTGATTTTATATAATAGATCAAATGGAAAGAGAGGTATAAGAATATATGTTCTTGTTGTATACTCAAGTATCCCGTTTGATAGGACAGCAATTGATTGATTAGCTTGCAGTTATTTATAAGAATTCGGTTAAAGTTGATTATGTATGAATTGAGTATGAATATTGGGTTATATTTAATAATATTCAATAAAAAAACTTTCTAATATGGTATTGCAGGTTTAGATTATTAGTTATATAGGCGGAAATCACTAATCCAACAACTCTTTTCCGCGATCTGGAAAGAAAAATATCCGATTTCCTTTGACAAGTTATTAGCCTCCATATCAATAAATACTACACTATCAAGAACCTAACTATCAAGCTTATTGAGATCAATAAACTCGAAGTTATACTTCGAGAATGTAATTGTTATAGAACAATTAAAAAGATATTTCTTAGAAAGCTATTTAGTAACACTAATTTATTGATTACCTTTAGAAGCATTTTTTGCTTATCAAATAATTCAAACCCATCTATTCAGTTTTATATCTAATATCCTTTTTGTATTTCTATTAACTATATAAAAACCTTCAAGTCAAATAATATTTTTATTTTTAAAAAACAATTTCAATTGTAATATTACCACCCCTACATCAAAAATAAATCGCAGTTTTACACCATATATAGGTAATATAAATGCTATGGCCGAGATCCAAGAGATTGGAGAAGATGAAGAGTTTTTATGATGTAGAAAAGAATGTCGAGAAAAATGTAAACCAAGAAGTATAAGCGAAAACTATCAAATCCACTCACATTGCTAAAAACCAACATTTAAATCAATACACTTAAATAGAAGTTCCCTCCTAAACACAATTTGGGATATAAGATTCCTCGATTTGACAAAACTAATAGAAAGTAATTTCATGAACCTATTATATACACTTTCGAAAAACGGATATTTATACAATACTCAATCTCTTATAGATTCCAAAACAAATAGCTTTGCTTTTATCAACAAAACACTCTTTTCATTATTATTCCCTATATTCAAACCTCGCTTTATATTACTTGAATTACCGATTGAAATCAAAAGCTATAATGGTGTATGAGGTGAAGCTATCATTCATTTTACATTTCTTAATTTCACAATTAATATTCGACAATAGTTTTATTTGCTATTTTTCATTATTGATTTGGATTTATATAATATAATCCTAGGTTACAAATAGTTAGTAGAAATCTGAATTAAAGTCAATTGTTTTAATCGATGCCTCGAATAACTTTCCGAGCATTCTTTTACTGTTTCCTTATCAAAAAATATACTTTTAATCAAAAACAATCTTCAACAATCTAGAATCAATTACTTAAAACAGAAAGATGCTAACGATCGGAATATTTGATTGGAAAAGATATACCACCAACTTGACAATGAACAATCAATTATAGTATCGATTGTACCTGAAATACTTATTATCCCTTTTCAAGAGATTAATACAATAATCTCAAATGTGATCGAAGCTCAGGTTCCAGTCAATCTAAAAAAGAAATCTATTTTTGGTCAAATCTTTATTCAATCTATTTATAAATCCCTTCCACTTTGTATCTCCGATATATTTAACATCTATACATTCAAGTCAATTCAATTTCAATTTATTTATAAAGAAGCAAGAATTATGAGATCTTTACAATCACATATACAAAAATTGACAATATCATCTCGATTTACAAATCTAATTAAGATAACAATCATCGAATCTCAATCGTAATTATTGTCTTAACAATTCTAAACCAGAATTATTACTACTCTCAATCGCATTATCGCAAATATCGAGATGGAGTCTTTGATCTCTGAAGTTTATTAGTAATATCACTAAGCGTTCTCCAAACACAAGTCCGACATCCTACCTCTCTCCCAGTCATATAATCACAAGATTATATTTGAAGGAGAAGGTGAAAAAGCTTTCAAATATAGTTCCCTGTATAAGATATCGCTCGAACAGTTTGAGGTCGTTAAAGAATATATTACAGAGAACCTTGCCAAAGGATTTATAGAACCCAGTCAAGCACCATTCGTAGCACCAATTCTTTTCATGAGAAAGCTGAATGGAAGCTTAAGGTTCTGTATAGACTTTTGATTATTCAATTCTTTAATATGTAAAGACAGGTATCTTTTATTTCTTATTGACGAGATACTCGTACGACTCGCTGGTGTGAAGGTGTATATCAAATTAGATATTCGATAAGCGTTCTATTGTATTCGTATGGATTTAGTTTTCGAAGAATACACTACCTTTCGTATTCGATATAGTTCCTATAAATACAAAGTTTTACCTTTTGGATTGACAAATGGCCTTACGACTTACCAACAATATATAAATGATATCCTATTTGATTATTTAGATGACTTCTATACTACTTACCTCGATGATATTCTTATATATTCTGAAAACGAAAATGAACACAAGGAACACGTCAAGTGTATCCTCGAACGATTTGAGTCTGCTAGCCTCCAGGCAGACCTCAAGAAGTGTGAATTCAATATCAAACGTATAAAATATTTAGGTTTTATTATTTCTACAGATGGCATACAAGTCGATTTAGAAAAGATTGAAATGGTTGCTATTTGGACTTATTTTATTACCATAAAAGATATCCAATTGTTCTTAGGTTTTTATAACTTTTACCACCAATTCATTAAAAATTACGGTATAATAGCAAAACCTTTTATAAACTCACAAAAACAAACATCAAATTCCACTTTAACGAAATCTATCAAATTACATTTGATATATTCAAAGACAGACTTATCTCT